ATATATATATATATATATATATATATATATAGAGAGAGAGAGAGAGAGAGAGAGTCTTAAGGTGTGCTATGTTTATGGGATAAAGTGCTCAGTATCAGAGGTAGAGCGTATGTAAATATAAATATAAAAGTAAACATTGAAGTCAAAAGGTTGTTTCATGCTAGCATGAAACAGCCTGTCGCCGCTGAGTGTTGACTTCAATGTTCAGTTATATATATATATATATATATATATATATGCTATTTTCGAGACCTGACCAACAGGAGTAGACGTTTGTCCCTGTTTCTTGTTTAGGATTGGGCTTCCGGCTCCTAAAGTCTACTCCGACTGTCTATATTTCTGAGATGAGGTATTATGTACACTATTTACATTATTCGGACTATAGTCTTCATCTTTGTTGCCATATTTATTACAACGTTTCGGCCGTTGTACGCTCCGGCCTTCTTCGGGTGGTTGGAACGTCGAACTGAACCCTTTATTTCGCTCACTGAGGTAGACTGTTCTAGTTCCGCGAGCCATGTTTTAATGGTTGTCAGTTATCAGTTATCTCCTGTTAATTTCTCTCTCCAAGTTCTTCACTGCCTTAACCGGGTATTGAACTCACACTCACTGGGTCATGTCATTGGATCTAACTCACGCCTTTATCTACTGTGCCGTGTGTCATTGGACCTACGACGATTCGTGATTACGACGCAATCTCCTTTAAATTCGTTTTGTCTTATGGTGTTTGCCTTCTCTACATCCCACTCCATACATACACATGTTTTTCACCGCTGACCTTCGTTTGTTGTGTATTTTTTCTATCTTAAAATATGTTTTACGTACCTTAAGGCATGTACATATGTGCATACCTTTGAGTTTCCCTGTAAGAGATTAGGACATTATCTTATTAAATTATGTGTTGGTGAATTCGCGATAAAAAGGAATAACAAATTCACATTTGTTTTTCTTTCTTTTATATTTTCTGCTACTTCCGAGTATTGAGAGAGAGAGAGAGAGAGAGAGAGAGAGAGAGAGAGAGAGAGAGAGAGACAAGATCTTACGCTTCATCTCATCAACCAAGTGGATATGTCATCACTATCAATAAATATACAAGCAGCATAAAAAATAATTTCATTATACAGAGTGTCCATAAAATTCGTGTGCACTTTAAAAAATTTATTTATTTGCGATAGAAATAATTTGTAAAAAGGATTAGAAAGAAGTAAATCTATATATTTTTAAGGTTTTATTGAAATTTTATTTAAGTTTCCACATGTCCTCCATCATTAGCAATACAAAGGGTAATACGACTTTGCAGTTCACTGAAAACATTTGCCAACTGATTTACAGTAATGCCTGAAATCACATTAGTTATTTTAGCTTATACTTAAAACTAGGTACATTAAACTTTATAACATTTTTTACAGATTATTTCTATCGCAAATACAAATAAAGTTATAATTTTTTAAAGTGCACATGAACTTTATAGACACCCTGTATGTATAATTTTGATTTCATTTCATTATTTATGACCTCCAAATGCTTTTAGTCCTAATATTGTTAAAATATATCATAGAAATGTATTGTCCTGCTATACATTATTACTTTACTATTGCGTTAACATAGGTGAGTGATCTATGTGATGATTCACAAAAATCGCTGGTAAATTCCGACTATTCTTTTAATCATTCCATCCCAAGCAAGACAAAAGTACCACTAGCACCTAGGGGGTTACAAAGAGCGAAAGTGAGAGAAAAGACCTGGTATATAGGGAGGTGAGGAAAGAATAAAAGATGGCGATTGGTGTTGCATTTAAAGTTTTGAAGATTGTAGTTATCTGGGAAGCAAGTAAGTGGAAGGGAGTTGCACTGTTGGGAAGTGCGAGAAAAGAAACTGTTAGCAATAGAAGTGGCGGTTATAGTTGACTATTTGAACAGTAAAAGAATGGGACCTAGAGGCCAATCTAGTAGCACGTTTAAATTTCTGTAGTCGGGGCAACAGGAAAAACAGAGGGGACCCATATTACGTCTGTGAGAATGTGAGTGAAGCCGAGATGCCAAGTCAGGATCGATTAAATTGCAGATCCTTCTTTGGATTTTATCAAGAACCCCGAGATGAACAACAGGAGAACCAAGATATGGCGACAGTATTCAATTCACAGTCGAATAGTAAATTCGTCTAAGATGTACGACAAAAACCTATACAGAAAATTCCGTTACGACGCTTTTTAAGAACGGAACTCTGTCGTAAGTCGAGGACCTCCTGCATATGTGTATTAGAAAACATTCATGGTTATTTAAAACTTTTTCTTTTAAATATTTAAATGACAACAAAGATAACGATAGCCCGAATATAAATAATGCAAATCGCGATGACTTCTGAAACTAGAAATTCAGTCATAAAATACATATATTAAAATACGTATATATATAGTACATTAAAGCAATGCAACTCACACCCAATAAAATTATATTTCAAACTAGTCACAACACATTACATTGCATCTAGACATATGGTT